GAAACTACCATATTGATTTCCAAAGTGGCTGTACAAGTTTGCACTCTCACCAGCAGTGAAGGAGTGTTCCCCTTACTCCACATCCTCTCCAACATAGGCTGTCGTTAGTGTTTTTTATCTTAGCCATTCTGACATGTGTAAGATGGTATCTCTGGGTTGTTTTGAGCTATCATTTCCCTGATAGCTAAGGATGTTGAACAATTCTTTAAGTGTTTCTCATCTATTTGAAATTCTTCTGTTGAGAATTCTGTTTAAATCTGTACCCCATTTTTTAATTGGATTACTTCTTATCTTGATGTCTAGTTTCTTGAATTCTTTATACATTTTGGAGATCAGCCCTCTGTCAGATGTATGGTTGGTGAAGATCTTTTCCCATTTTTCAGGCTTTGTTTTGTCTTGACAGGGTCCTTTGCCTTACAGAAGTGTCTCATTTTAGGAGGTCCCATTTACTAATTGTCGATCTCAGTGTCTGTGCTACTGGTGTTATATTCAGGAAGTAGTCCCCTGTGCCAATGTGTACAAGGCTACTTCCCACTTTCTTCTATCAGGTTCAGTGTAACTGGATTTATAGTGAGATGAGTTTTTGTGATATGGATCTATTTGCATTCTTCTACATGCAAACATCCAGTTGTGCCAGCACCATTTGTTGAAGATACCCTCTTTTATCCATTGTATAATTTTGACTTCTTTGTCAAAAATCAGGTGTTCCTAAGGATGTGGTTTTGCGACAGGGTCTTCAGTTCGATTCCATTGATCCACCTGTCATTTTTATGCTAATACCATGCTGTTTTTATTACTATAGCTCTATAGTAGAGCTTGAAGTCAGGGATGGAGATACTTCCAGAATTTTACAAAAGTAACTTTTTAAAAAGGGATATGTTTTATCTGGAGGAATAAAGGCAAGAATGATTTGCTGATTTCTCAATAGAAACAATGTAGCAAAGACAGAAAGACAGTGGGCAGTATGAGGGGAGCTTCCTCCTTCCAAGAACCAAAACAAACAAACAAAAAAGACCCAAGAAAATCCTGCCAACTTAAAAATCTATACCCAGCAAAAATGCCTTTCAAAAACTAAAGCTTTTTTTTAGTAGTATCCAGCTGAGAAAGGCCTTGGCCACCAATCCCCACTGGACACCATGATGATGGAAGCCACCATGACATGCAGTGTGAACTGACACCAAAATGAACCAATCACCTTCCCACCCCTGCACCCAACACCGAGATAGTCAGGCAGGGAAGGCTTATGTGACGCCATTTTGTGGACAATTAGGTCTATTGCTTTGGACCTGTAGCCAGAAGTATGTGCTGAAGCACAAGCCCAGCTTATCCCATAGCTGTGATGAAAGTAGAGTCCAGGCTTCCAAATAATCCCCTTTAAAACCACACCCCCCAAAAGCTGGGGAATCAAGTATTTAATGCTTGGAAGCATTCAAGAGTCAAATTATGTATGGAAAATGGTACAAACAAGAATAAATATAGAGCATCTATGGCATGGCCATGCACAGCAGGCTGGGGCTGGGCACGGGGCCAGCACTTAAGGTTGCTGCCAGACCAGGGTCACATAGTATCAAGGTCAGGGCCAAGGCAACTTACAGCTATCCTAGTGCCAGTGTTTAGTAAGCCATGTAAGGCAATAAGGCAAGTTGGAGATACCATGAGGCTTTTTAGGTATGACATTCCCCAAGGTCACCATGACACCATGATGCAGGCCAGGAGGATTAAGGCCAAGGACTGAAGTTCTGGACCAGAGCCTGAAGCCTGGGACGGAGATGGAGCAGGGATGACTCTATCCAAGTCAGTCTCATGGTCGTGTAGATACATGATTCTCCTCATGTCTCACATGGCTGTTCCTCCATGTGTCTATGTCTTGATCTTTCCTTGTACGGACGCCAGTAGGATTAGTTTTCCCCAGTGACCTCACTTTAACTCAGTTACCTCTTTAAAGATCTTGTCCCCAAATGCAGCCACTCTTTAGCACAGAGGTTAGGACCTCAACCTAGGCATTTCAAAGGATGCAATTCAGCCCACCTCAGAGGTGATGGATACAGAAGGCAAATTCAGGGGCAGCTCAGTTCGTCTTAGATTTAGGTGACCCAGGAGGAAAAATTTCCAGTCACGCATGGAAAGACCCAGAATACCTGTGTGGTTTCAAGGGGACTCAGACAGTTGAGCTGCCCCTATGACTTTGGCCTTGGTTCCTAGCTACAGACTGCATAAGGTAAACAGATGGGGATGAGAGACCCTGAGGCTGTTGGAGGAGGAAGGGTCCTGGTGTCGAAGCCCACCACAGTCGGCCCACTTCAACAAAGTCCGTCAGTGTTTACTGGTTTGGCCATTCCCCAGAGCTGCTCTTTTGTGAGAAGACAGGGTATTAAATGCCACTTGGGGTTTATTTACTCAGCTCTGACAACCAGGAAATCAATGTTGCAACTGAACTTCTGGCAGCGTCTTTTATTAATGCTTTTAATGTCTGACTTTTAACCACTGGGGACTCTCTGCTGAGGGCATGCTTTGTCTGCCCTTGTGAGTGCAAGCTTATGCGTGCACAGGCTCTGTGCATCTCTGCAGCCGCAAGCATAGTCTGGATGCCTATATGAGCTGGTGTGTTCATATGTGCATGGAACATGCTCTCATGTGTATACCTTTCCTCATGGCCATGCAGTACATGTGCTTATACAAGGGATCATGCTTGTGTGTATGTGTTTGGGTGGATATATGTGTGCTCATTTTGTGTCCACAGGGCTGTACTGAAGCATGCATGTGTATGTGTGCATGTGTTTGTGAATGCGTGTGTGTGTGTGTGTGTATGTGCACGTATGCACACCAGGGGACATATGCCCAGTATGCACGTTGCATTTGGACCTCTCAATGTGAAGGCAGATTCACAGCTATAAACTCTGCTTTGATCTGGGAGAGCAGAAATGGGGGGAGAGCAAGAGAGTAAAAAAGAGAGATTTGCATCTCTTAGATCTGAATGTGACCCTCATTTTGGTGAGAAATGAACATAGCAAGGGGACCTCAAAATCCATCAGCTACTCCCAGGCCTGTGGATTTGAAACAAACCATGAAATTCCTACTGGTGAGTGACATTTCTCATCCTGGCTTTCCTCCCTGGGCTTTCTCTCGAATGCTGTTTATCAATGTAACCTGAAAGGAAGAACCGGATCAAGACAGCTTCAGCCTCTGCATTTCCTACAGAAAAAAAATTTCAATGGGAGGTTTGGCTGGGACAGTCAGGGTTTGCATATGACAATAGGCCCACTGAGTCTCACCAATGTGCACACCCCTCTGACTTGTTCACAGAACGACAGGGCAATGCACCCCCCACAGAACCCAGTGATGTCATGCATCCACCCTAGGCAGATGCTTAGGGGCAAGGCTTAGACCATTTGTCCCTCACTTCTCCATCAGAATAGGCAGAGTGCAGTCAGCACCCGCAGATGACTGACCAGGGTCAAGCCAAGGGGTCTTTGCTTGTTCCTTCCCACCATGCACTTGGTTCAAGAGCCTGATCTGAAGCTCTTGGGGTCAATCGGGGTTCTTCCTCTCTTTCATACCATCACGACCTTACTGCCTAATAACTAACCTCCAAAACCAGCCAGAGACTTAGGGATTTACCATGGGACTGTGGAGGACACCACTCAGTTCACGGCACCTTCCAAATATAGCATCCACTCTCACAAAAGCCCAGGGAGTAGCTCTGAGCAGTAGGTGACAGCAGCTCCTTGGGACCCAGGGAGCAGGATTTACTTGGCTTTCTTTAAGTCATTCCTTCTGTAGTGGCTAGAGTCACCAGGCCAGTGCCCCTCTGCTCTTTCTGGATAATGGGGACATCACTGGACCTGCTTAGTATCGTTTAGCTTCCCGGAGCTTCAGAGCGGTTGTCTCTCACTGTGTTGTTTCCACATACCCTGGAGGCTTCACGAGTCCGTGGGGAGCGTGGGAGGCCAGCAGGTGGTAGCAGCCACCCTTCAGCCCCGCCACCTCCTCGGTTCCCTGGGAGTCTTTGTCAGGAGCTGATCAATTGATATATGGTCATTTTCTAGAGCCCCTGAGCCGGATGTCTGTGCCAGCCTTCTGGGAAGCTTTCCCGAACAGAGGCCAGCTCACCAAGGGAGATTCTTCTGTGAGCTGCCTTGACAAATAGACACCAGCTGTTTGTGATTAGCATGTCACTTGCATGCTCAAGTTTTCCTGGTAGGTACAAATCACTTTCTCTCTCAAGGAGTCCGCAGCCCCTGCAGCCAATGGGCCCTGAATACAACTTTAGGCCCCAGCAGCCCCATGAGACAGGCATGTAGTTCTCCTGCTGGTGACGACTAAGCCAGGTGTCCTCAGCCAGGGATAGATGTAGTCACAAGGGTCAGGACTGCTTATTCACTGGGACACATCGTGAGTCAGTCCTGTCAGGGACATGGCAAGCTTTCAATGAATCTGTTAGCCCTCGGCCTCCACCAATGATGATGGAGGGCAACCTGGTCTAGAGTACTCTGAGCTCCTCCCTGTGACCCTGGGGTTGAGTCATACCCCATACTGTACAGGGGAGTGTGGAGGCTACCTGGGCTATCATCTGGTACTTCCTGGGCTGAAACCTCCCTAGTGACAGATTTGGGCCCGGCCATTCTCAGCCTGGCTCATCTCTGTGTGAGAAAAAGTGACCATGCTCAGTTGCATCCAGATACAGGAGAGGGGTTCCCAGCCCAGGAGCAGGAGTGGATGGTGGACGGAGGTGAGGGACTAGTGAGAGCATTGCATGTAAGTATTCTAGATATGTGGTTCCAACAGGCTTCCCATTGAGGAAAACCAGTGTGCTTGGAAGTCCCTGTGGGACTGTGAAGGAGGGGGAACCTAGTCAGTTATCAGGGGTGATCTGACAGGTAAGGTAGACTTCTCATTGTTTAGTGAGATCCTGGCCAGGTCAGCTCGCTTTAGAGAGGGTGGTGCAGACTTGGGACAGCTCTCATCACCTGCATTGGAGCATTGGCCTCTGGGCTCCTCACCTCCATCCAGTAGGGAGAACGCACTGCTTTCACTTTCATGAGCGCAGCTGCCATAGGGTTTCTTTCTCGTGAGCAGGGATAAGCAGCAGACAGGCTTGGCTCAGGTGGCTTTGCAGCTGGGAGACAGTGCAGATTTCTGGAAAGATCACAAAACAGGTGTGATTATACTGGGCCATGTCTGTGCCGTAACTACATCAGAAATTTGGTTTCTAGACTTGCCATAGCTACATTTCCACAAAATCATTTTTATATATAATTGCCTGGAAAGGCACCTGCAGCTGCATCGGGTGTCAAAGGTCAAGGATACCAGGCTTAAAGTAAAATGGATTTGTAAGCAATGGCCATTAATCCCTCCAGGCCTGACTTAAAACACAGAGATGATAATATAAGGTGTACATCCATTCCCAGAATGGGCAGAGCATACCTCACAGGGGTGTGGCGAGGACATGGGCCAGACTTTGTAACACTTGGGAAAAACGAAGGGGCAGGATGTGATTTGGGCTCATGGTTCAGCAATTTTACCACAGTCAGCTCTCAGATGTCTCTGGGCAGCGAGTGGTGAACACCATGACATGAGGACATGGTAGACAATGGCTCTTTGTTCATTTTGTGGTGGCCAGAAACCAGAGAAGACAGGCTCAAGGGAGCTAGGAACAAGATATATTTCCACTGCGCATCTTCAGTGACCTAGTTTCTATAACCTGGCCCCATATCTAGAAGATTTAACACCCCCTGTTGTGGAATATTAGTTGAAGGTGTGTTATATTTGTTTATTCTGTGGAATATTTGTTTAATGATGCAAAGATGTGTTGCATTCTTTTATGTGGCATTTGCTTAACTCTGTAAAGCTGCCTAAAACACCTGATTGGTCTAATAAAGAGCTGAATGTCCAACAGCTAGGCAGAGAGGGATAGGCAGGGCTGCCAGACAGAGAGAATAAATAGAAGGAGAAATCTAGGGAAGAGAGAAAGTAGTGAGAAAAGGAGAGAAGGATGCTGAGGGGCAGCCACCCAATCACACAGTCAGACACAGAACGAGAAGGAAAGAAAAGATATACAGAAGTAGAGAAAGGCAAAAGCCCATAGGCAAAAGGTAGATGGGATAATTTAAGAAAACCCGGCTAGAAATAAGCCCGGCTAAGGCTGGGCATTCATAAGAAAGAATAAATCTCCATGTGATTATTTGGGAGCTGGGTGGCAGGCCTTCCAAAGAACAAAGAGTTAAAAAAAAAAACTAATTACAACCCCCCAGTCATGCCATTAAATTAAGATTCCACCAAAGAATTAATCCAGAGCCAGAGCCTCCAGGTCTAATCTCTTCCCCTGAACAATGGGCTCTGGGAATCAAGGCTTTTACACTCCCCACAGCCCTGTTGAGGGGCACGTCGGATACAAGCCTTAACAGTATGTAAGTCATCGGAGAAACAGGTAGCATAAAGCAAGAACAAAAATCTACAGAAGTTCTGGAAACAAACTTCGGATTAGAAGTTTAAGAATGGGGGAACATGAGCAATGGGGTGCAGTGCAGAGACCACATGGAGAACAGGTGAACAATGGCCAGACCACAGTGGGAAATGACAGAGAAAGAGGGGGCACTTAAAGAGCTGAGGGGTGAGATGGGGGGGGGGCAGAGACAGGGACCAGAGAGGGTGGGACCACACCTGAGAAACATCTAGTATTAAAGAACCAGTGACTTCAGATGGGTGGGTGTGATGGTTAATATCAACTAGACAGAGCCTAGAAGCACCTAGGAGACAGGTCACTAGTCTGTGAGAAACTAGCTGGGGTGGGAAGACCCACCGTAAGTGTGGGTGGCACCATCAGAAGTAAAACAGAGAAAGCCAGCTGAATATCAGCACGCATCTCGCTCTGCTTCCTGGCTGTGATGTCACGTTGCCATGTGACCAGCTGCCTCCTGCTTCTGCCACCATGATGGACTGTGCGCTCAAGCTGTGGGACAAAACAAACACTTCTTTCCTAAAATTACATTTGATTTGTCACAGCAGTGAGGCAGAAATTGATGCTGAGAAACAGGGACATCTCTGAGATAAGCCTGCCCGTGTGGCCTTCGGAACAGTTTGCAGGAGAAACGTGGAAGAGTCTGAAGCACTGGGCTAGAAAAGCTCTCAAATGCTATAAACAAAGTCTACTGAGCTATTCAATTTGGGATGGGAGTTTGGAAGACCAGAAGGCATAGAGAAATGCAAACTGTGGAGCCCTGGCTCATGAGGTTCCAGAGGGAAACAAGGACACTAATGGGAACTGGGTTAGAAGCCACCTGTATTTCATCTGGCAAAGGAGCCTGTGTCCTGGATGAGTGAGACTGGATTTAAAACTGATGGAGTAAGGTGCACCTCCAAGCCTGAGAGCGTTCCGACTGTGGCAGTCCTACCACTTATCACTCTTTGGGTCTGCAGGGAAAATGAGCAACAAGGGAGACAGAAAGGTTTGAAATGTTTTATTTGTTTGTTAAGGAAAAGAGCTAAAACAAGCTTGAAGTCGTAGCCAAGGTGTGTTCTATGACTGTCAAAGAGAAGGACCACTCCTCACATGAATCTCAGCACTGGAAGAGCAGGAAAACTGTCTGGGGGTAAATAAGATGCCGTCCATCAAATGCTCCAACGAGTAAAAAGTCTAATGGCAAGTGTGGTTCAAGGAAGCCGGGCTCCATCCTGAGCTGGCAGCATCGTTCGACATGGTGATGATCTTAGAGGCATGTAAGACATAAGATTGAGGGGGCGGGAGTCTTGCTTTGAGGTTTCAGAGAGCCTCCGAGGCCCACCAATGTGCAGCAGGATCCGCGTCCCCGAAATGAGGCCCTGAGAGGCTGCTGTGAGAATCTACAAAAGGTAAGCTTAAGCTGCAGGGGAGCTCCCTGGATGTTGAAGATCCTCTACTGAGGAAAGCTGCATGCACCAGTGAGAGAGGCTGAGGGTGCTGTGGGCAACAGAACACAAGAGGTAAGACTACCCAAGCCTATTTGAGCCCAGCTGATTCTGTCAGAGTTCCAGATGCCAAGACAATGGAGCTGTAGGATTTGGTGTTTGCTGTGTTGGTGTTCAGTCTTGCTTTGATCTGATCTTTCCTTGTTATTCCCCCGTTTCTCCTTTTTTGGATGAGAGCATTTACTCTGTGCTGTTGTATGTATGTTAAAAGTATGCTTATTTTTAAATGGGGGTCACAGTTAGGAGATTGCATTGTCTCATGACACCCAGTGACATCGCCCCTGACAGCCAAGCACTTGTCCAATGTGAGAGGGACTCAGGGTACTGCACTGCACTTTAGACTTCGGAATAGCACTAGGGCTATTAGAGCCTGGAAACTTTAAAGTTGAACTGAATGACTTTACATATAGGGTGACAGTGAGCCTATAGGGACAAGGGTGGAAGGTTACAGCTTAAATGTAATGTGCTTGGATGTCAAGTCGAGTTGACAAGGGGTGGATTTGTGATGGTTACTAGTGTCAACTTCACAGGATCTAAAATCACCTCAGGGAAAAGCCTTTGGGGGCATCCGTGATGGAGTATCACAATTAGGTAAACGTCGGTAGCACCATTCCAAGGGCTGAAGTCTCAGACTGAATACAAAGAAGAAGACCAGCTGAGTGCCAACATTCCTTGCTCTCTGCTTCCTGACTGGACCCGAGGTGACCAGTGTCGTAGCACTGTGGTTGCTGTGACCTCCCTGACATGATGGGCTGCACATTCAATCTGGGAGCCACGATTACCCGTTTGTCCCTCAAGTTGCTTCTCATCCAGAAAGCCATGTACAATGCCAAGGATAGGCAATAATACATCCTTCCTGGACAAAGCCAAGTGAAATTTAAGAAAAATCTAAGCCCAACATACCTGTGCAGAGAGCAGAAGCCAAAGATCAATAATAAAGGGACGAGAATAGTGCCGGGCGATGGTGGCGCACGTCTTTAATCCCAGCACTCGGGAGGCAGAGGCAGGCGGATCTCTGTGAGTTCGAGACCAGCCTGGTCTACAAGAGCTAGTTCCAGGACAGGCTCCAAAACCACAGAGAAACCCTGTCTCGAAAAACCAAAAAAAAAAAAAAAAAAAAAAAAGGACGAGAATAGAACAGTGGGGTGTGCATGTGGCAGGTCAGTATGCTTCAGATTGGCAGAGGAAAAGAACTGAACACCCAGTAGAATCATCCCTCACAGCCAGGCGCTCAGCCACTGTGACACAGGGTGCTGAACCAGCTGCCTCAGGGCTGTTGGGGAATCTGGGACATTTTCATTAGTATCTTTTTCAATAAAACAAAAGAATTTGTATACAGATTTAAAAAAGACTAAGAAATGAATGCACAACAAACCAGAAGGGAAGTTCTAGAAAATTCCAGCCTGGCTGGGGAAGTAGGAAACAGTAGAGCTCCCCCATTACAGCAGGGTTCACACCCTGCCAGAGCAGAGAGACCTGCACAGTGAGAAGCCTGCAGTACACAGCATGAGCTTTGCGGGGGGGGGGGGCACATCTTCATTGGGACAGTGATTCATCTGTAGGGATGGGAGAATAGCAGTGAGCAGGGGGACCTTTGATGGGGAACCTCCTTCAGCCAATGGCCTTTGAGAGGCTGGACCAAGTTGGGCGTGGCCTTGGGTACCAAAAAGGTGCTGGTCCGCGCTGCTCTCTCTGCTACTCCCCACTTGCCACACCTGGATGTTGGAGTCTGTTCCTGTTCCCTATTGTGATCTGAGTTCCTTTTTAATAAAGAACCCCTTATTATACCCTATTCGGAGTTAGTGTGGGATGACTTTATTCGCATTCCCCCCATCTGGTGCATTCCCCTTCAGAGCCTGAAAGTGGGAAGGTGGCAGGGTTCAATCCTAAGATGACAGTGGTTGAAATAATTGGAAATGGGTGAAATCTGTCAACTAAATTTGCTTATTAGAAACACTGCTTCAACCTGAATTCTGGAAAGACGACTTCATTCCTATGAACGACAGACCCCCAGGAAGCAGGAGGAATGGGGCAGAGGAAGTGGGCAGACACAAGGGCAAAGGGAGAACTTGGGAAAAACACTTATTAAAAGTAAAAAGAGTGTTTTGTCACAGGACACAGACGATGGCCACTCACACCATCAAACCCATCCTACCATAAAGCCAGTATGCTATGCACCTGGACCATGCTGT